TTTTTATCTTATGATGAATACAAATTATGGAAAGAAATCGGGGATGAATTGGTTTTACATTTAAACATAAAACAAAGAATATTAAAAATATTAATCTCATATATATTAAAAACTTTCATTTCAAATAAAAGAGGCTTGGCATGAGTATAACGGTCTTTAAAATATATAAGACGTGCTACATGGTTCTGCTGACAATAAAGAGGTTTAAGTTTGTTTTTATTTGCACTACCCCAAGCAATGTTTGCATAGTTTATGTGGCAATGAATAAATGAGTGATATAATTGAACTAAAGTTTGTTTATTTAAGACATTTCTCGCTTTGTACAATATTCCTATACTTTTTGAAATTTTACTTGATAAGTTTTTAATGTGATTTTTCCATGTAAGATTTTCATCTAAACAAACTCCTAGAAAATTAGTTACTGTTACTTTTTTAATTTGTACATTGTCAATAACAAGTGGAGGCATGTTAATTGGCAGTTTATGTTTTTTGGTAAGAGGATGGAAAAGAATCCATTTAGTTTTATCAATGTTCAGGGATAGTTTGTTTGTCTTAAACCAGTCAGATATTTTGATTAACTCGATGTTCACGTTATGAAATAAAGTAGGAATGCTTTAGTGAGACATAAATAAATTAGTGTCATCAGCAAACATAATTGTTATTAAATTCGAGGCTTTGTATAGATCATTAATATAAATAAGGAAGAAAAGAGATCCTAATATGGATCCTTGAGGAACTCTACATGTAATATTTAACAAATTTGATGAAAATGATTTATCAGCATAAACAAATTGTTTACGATTAGTTAAATAACTTTTCAACCATTTTAAAACATTGCCTATTATACCATAATATTCTAATTTTTTAATAAAAATTTGATGATCAATTGTATCAAACGCTTTCGTTAAATCAATAAATATTCCCAATGTAAATTTAGAATTGTTAAATGAGTCTGATATACTTCTTGTAAGCTGAATAATTGTATGCTCTGTTGAATTATTTTTTTTGAATCCATATTGCATGTTATATAATAATTTGTTTGTTAAAAGGTGATTGCATATTCTGTTGTACAAAATTCTTTCTAAAATTTTAGAAAAAACAGAGAGGATGGAAATTGGACGATAGTGTTTTACATTAGTTTTTTCTCCTTCTTTAAATATAGGAATAATTTTTGCTATTTTTAAATCATCAGGAAAAACTCCCTGATTAATAGAGCATTTAAAAATTTGGAAAAGTATGTCTTTTAAAACGTCAAAACAGCTTATAATAATATTTCCGTTGATACCATCAGGACCAACTGCTTTATTTGACTTTAACAATTAAAAAGCACTTTCAAACTCTTCAAAAGACAAATCAAAAGAATTTAGATACGAGTTTAGAGGGTCATATCTTGCTTTTATTAATTTTTTAGGGTTCGGAATTTTTTCGGCTAGGTTTGGTCCTTCAGATACAAAATATTTATTAAATTCAGAAGCAATTGATTTTTGATCAAGAAGAAGATTATCATCTATTTTAATAACTGAGGGCAAAGATTGCGAAATTTTTTTAGTGTTACCAGTAATTTCGTTCATTAGTTGCCAAGTGCGTTTTGAGTTTAATTTGTATTTTTCAAGTAAATTAGTGAAATATATTTTTTTTGAATTTTTCCTTAGGCGTTTAAGGGGGCACAACCCTATTAAAAAAGTGTAAATTATTGAAAAAACTAATTTTTCAAAAATACACTTATTTTAACTCAAATTTATCGTAGAAACTATTGCTGATTTTTAAATTTTTTCTATCCATGCTGATATTGGTCAAAATTTCATTTATTTAGATGTTCATTATTTAAATTACCCTAGCAACGCGCATAGCAACCGTTTTTAAATGTTGTTTTTCATCTTTTTAAGCCCTTTTTTCAAAGTTGATCTTGGCTTTTTGTTTGTACAAATGGCTTTTTGTTTGTACAACGACGTAATAAGCATAATGGAGTTATTTAACTAATTAAACTACTGATTTGACAGACTGGCCTTGTTAGAATGTTTGTTTATGTTTTACAAAATTGGTTTTTATATATTTTTTTATTTTTCAGTATTATAACAAGGTAGTATGCTTTATAAGATAATTTCTATGCTGTTTTGCTAAGTATATTTATCTATCTATGCTATTTATAAGCTTTCTATCTATTGCTTTGTATATTTATGTAACTAGTATAACTAAAAAGTTGAAAAATATTTACAAATTGAAATGGAATCATCTTGTAAGTTTCGATCTAAAAGACATAAAAGTAGAAAGTTTTATGGCAACCAACTCTCTAAAAATTTTACTGAAAACTCTAAAGTTACAAATAAAGAAAACATAGCAACAACAGTTTCTTATACAAAGTTAAATGGTTCAATGGTTAAAGTTGTTGATAACTGCTGTTCAAAAAACATTACAGGCAACCGAATAGTTGATATGGAATTGTTAGCTGAAACTTTTAAGATTCTTTTGTGCCCAGAGTGTTCACATAATTCAGTAAAGCTTAATCAAAAGCAGAAATTAGGAATTGCTTTCGAGTCTTTCAATGCAACAATATGGAATCGTGTTCCAAAAGATGCATTTGTAAAACTAGTACAGTTGGAAATTGCTGCTTATGATGCAGTTGCTCATTTTAATATTGGAAATTTAGCAACATTAAAAATATATGATAAAATGCAGATGGAGTGAGGCAGCTACACTGAGCTTAGTTGCAAAGAAAGAAATCGTTCACGATTAAAAAATGCAAGTCGAAAAAATGGTGAGAAGTATAGGATGCGTCGCAAGTTTCTGCGTGGAGCTAAAAAGAGTAAGAGAAGTGAAAATAAAAATAATGAGGGTTTGTCATATGGAGCAGGAAGTTTTAAATGTTTATATCAAATTAGTTTTATCATACCTGTTTATATGAACATGGCATTTAACAGGGAAAAGTAAAAATTTTTTACCATTTTAGCTTTTTATTCATTCGCAAGTAGAAAAGGGTTATTATCTGACTTTTGATAAATAAAGTACATCTATTGTTTGAATATAATCTACAGTGCAATACTTAATAGATAAAAAGGCTCCAGATAAATATAATTATTATTAACAATAGAGTTAACATAATTTTTTTTTTAAAACCTTTTTTTCTAAGATTTCCACATTTTCTTAACTTTGCCTGACTGTGGCAAAGATATTTCAAAAACGGTTTGATTAAAACTTCTCATATTTTGACAGATTGTTTATTATGTACAAGGTTGTGCAATAAACCTCAAAATTATAAGAATATATGTGTTAAAAATAAAATATAACGATTTTTCGGTCATTATGGGGGATAAAAATATCATTTTTTTTGTATCCTTTAAACAAATAAAGCACGACCCCAAGGAATAAGTAAGTTGTTAAGTTTTTGAGGTTCATTGCATACCTCTAACATCAAGCTAGTTAAATGCCAAATTTTATTCTATGTGACCTTCGGCATTTTGAAATATTTTTGCCACAAAATGGTCAATTTTTAAGTTTTTGCCCCCTAAAAATTGCCCCACAGGGCAACCCCTTCTTTTTTTTTAATTTTTTTTTTTTTTTTAATCTTAGTTTTATTATGAATTTACTTAATAAATAAAAAAAATTATTTAAATATCAAAATTAAAGATTTTTTTATTTATGGGGTTGTGCCCCCTTAAATAATCTTACGTAATTTTTATAAATAGTCTTACTCTCAGTTGTTTTTGATTTTAAATATTTAATATAAAGTTTTCGCTTAATTTTTGAAGATTTTAGAAACCTTTAGTAATCCATGGCGATACAATTTGTTTATGTTTGTAATTTACTTCTACTTTGGGAAAATTGATGTCATAAATTTCATAAAAAATTTTAAAAAAGGATTTGTATATTAAATTAATGTCTTCAGAAAAGTTTATAATGTCCCAATTAATTAACGATAGTTGATATTTAAAAGATTCTAGGTTTTTATTATGAAAAATTCGTTTTTTAAATGATTTTTTTTTATAACATATAATTTTCGCATAAATATCAATTGAAAAAAATATAGGGAAGTGATCAGATATATCACTTTTAATAATGCCTTTTTTAAGCGAATTATTAAAAATATCGTTGGTTATAATGTTATCAATTAAGGAAGTTGTTGTTTGAGTAATTCTAGTTGGTTTGTTTATTAGAGGAACTGCTCCGTTTTCAAATAGGCCATTATAAAACCCATTAATGTCTTTTTTGACATGATACTCAGAGCAATTTAAATTTAGATCACCTAATATGTAAAGTAATTTTTTTTCATGGTTGCTTTTATTTATAACATCATCTTGTAAAAATGTACTAAAAGTTTTAATTTCGCCTGTAGGTGGGCGATAACAACAGCTTATCACAATGTTTTTAGTTTTATTGTTCAATATTTCAATTGTTAAAACCTCTTTATTGACATCAGAAATACTCATGTCATGCCTAATATAATACTGGAGGTTTTCTTTTACATAAATAATTAAACCACCGCCGCGTTTATTTGTTTTCCGTCCTAATAAAATCAAATTATAGCCCGGTATTTTAAATTTATTATCTAAACTTGAGTCATTAGAACTACACCAAGTTTCAGTTATGCATATTACACTAAAAAGAGTTAAATTTTCCTCAAAACTATTGCAAAGATTTTCAAAATTTTTTTTTAAACTTCTTATATTTATATGAACTGCATTAAATTTATCATGCTCAAGAAATTCTTTTATTTCATAACTATAGAAACAGCTGCAGTTGCTTTGTAAAGCACCTGTTTCGCTAAAAAAACTTTGATCCGGATCGGACTCTTTGTTGAGTATAAAATCATTGAATTGAAAAATATCAAAATTCTTTAAGTGATTTGAATCCATTTTAGTATTTAAAAACAAAAAATTTAAGATAAAATAATAACTCTAATATAAAAGAATTTCTTAATTGTCGCGCGTTACAAGTTTATTATATACGACTTTAGCATATTTACCTTTGGCTCTCAGATCTTTTGCTTCTTTAAATAACTGTTTTCACAATTCCAAAGTTCTTTCGCTGTAGTCTTCGTTTACGTAAAGCCAATCGTTCCACAATTTTAACTGAACATAGTTATCCAACGCAGTTTTTTTGTCTTTGTAATTTAAAAATTTTACTATTAAGGTTCTGTTATACTTTGTTCCATCGCTATTTTTTTTCCCCGTCCTGTGCGCACGTTCAATTTCAACATTACCTTTAAAACCAAGTTTTGACTTTAAAACATTTTGAATCTTTTCATCGCTTAATTCCCACGTTTCATTTTCGTCTTCCTCAATTCCTGTAAACCTTAGATTATTTCTTCTGCTTCTGTCTTCCAACTCAGCAAGTTTGTCTTTGACAACAACATTTGTTATATCATTCTGGCTTGATGTTGAGTTAGGCTTTTTTTTTATTTCAGAAAGTTCTTGAACAATTGCTTCATATTTCTCGCTAAGAAACTCTGCCGATTTCCTTAATTCACTAGTTTCTTTTTTTTAGTTTTGAATTTTCTTCTTGAAGATTTAATAGTTTGATTTCCATTTTATCAAACTTCTCGTTAAATATTTTCAATAAAGTATTCTCATGAATATCTAATAGATCTTTAATTTGAGAAACGGTAAATTTAGCCATTTTTAATTTAGTTTACAAAAGCACGTCCGTTCACGTCAAAAGTTTTCGCAAATATATATATATATATATATATATATATATATATATATATATATATATATATATATATATATATATATATATATATATATATATATATATATATATATATATATATATATATATATATATATATATAAATGATTTTTATCCGTCAATTGATGAAAAAATACTTAATAACGCTATTACTTTTGCCGAACAACATATAACAATAGACGAGCAAAGCAAATCCATTATAGATCATGCAAGAAAATCTTTCATTTTTAACGGTGGCATATCATGGATTAAGAAAAAAGCAGGATTGTTTGATGTTACCATGGGAGCCTATGATGGCGCGGAAATTTGTGAACTAGTTGGAATTTTTATTTTAGATCAACTTTCGCAGTTTTACAACAAAAATGATTTTGGTCTATATCGGGATGACGGGTTAGCTGTTTTCAAGAACAAAAATGGCCATCAAATGGATCAAATAAAAAAACGTGTCGTTCAAGTTTTTAAACGTAACAATCTCAACATCTCTATCAATTGTAATCTTAAAATTGTTAACTACCTTGATTTAACTTTTAATCTTACTCAAAGTACATTCCAACCATGCTGCAAGCCTGATAATAAGCTATGTTATGTACATGCTGATTCTAACCATCCACCTAACATAATAAACAATCTTCCAAAAAATATAGAGCTAAGATTGTCCGCCAACTCATCAAGTGAAGTTATTTTTAATAAGTCGACACATCTTCCCAGTGGGCACGGAAGTAAAAAAGGACGTCTTTTAAACGTCTTATACACGTTTTAGACGTTTTCTGAACGTCTTTTGAACGTTTTGGACGTATTTTAAACGTTTAAAAGACGTCTTTTTTACTTCCGTGCCCACTGGGTTTATGAAGACGCACTAAAGCAATCGGGATATGATTATAAGTTGGCATATAAACCAAGTATAACAAATGTTCCAAAAAATCACCACAAACGAAGTATAAACTGGTACAACCCTCCATTTAGTAAAAATGTTACAACCAAAATTGGTCAACGCTTTTTAACCCTAATTGACAAGCATTTTCCTAAAGACCACAACCTACACAAAATATTTAACAGAAACACTATTAAAATAAGCTATTCCTGCATGCCAAACATTAAATCTATCATCAACTCACACAACAAAAATATTTTATATGGTGATGTAAAGTTATCAGAAAAAACCTGCAATTGCATTAAAAAATGTCTTTGTCCACTGAACAACAATTGCTTGTCTAACAACATTGTTTACCAAGCCACCGTAAGCTCAAATAAACCTCAATACAAAGATAAGGTATACATTGGGATAAGCGAAACCTCTTTTAAACTACGTTATGCAAACTATCTAAAATCCTTCAACATAAAAAAGTACAAGAACGACACAGAGTTATCTAAGGAAGTATGGGATTTAAAAGATAACAATTTTACATCTTCAATCAAATGGAATATAATTAAACGCTGTAAATCATACAATCCTGCGTCAAAAATTTGTAAGCTTTGTTTAAATGAGAAATTTGAAATATTATTTTACAAAGGAGATAATCTGCTAAATAAAAGAGGCGAAGTAGTTTCGAAATGTAGACATAAAAATAAATTTCTTCTTTCATTATTTGATAGCGGAGATTAGTTTTCCATTACGTCTTCTTGACTAAGACGTCAGAACTCATTCTACTGTAGTTTGTAATTTTTAAACGGTTTTTTATATTTTTGATTTTGTACTTTAAGGCTGATGATTGCCGATAGGCATGAAACTTTAAGTTCCATTAAAAGTTGTTTTTTCTGTATTTAAGTATATATACATATATATATATATATATATATATATATATATATATATATATATATATATATATATATATATATATATATATATATATATATATATATATATATATATATATATATATATATATATATATATATATATATATATATATATATATATATATTATATATATATATATAGCTTTGTATATATAAAACTTGTAATTAACCGCATTCCACAATCAAAATGTGCGGCCGTGGCGCAGCGGTTGTATGTATATATATATATATATATATATATATATATATATATATATATATATATTATATATATATATATATATAGCTTTGTATATATAAAACTTGTAATTAACCGCATTCCACAATCAAAATGTGCGGCAGTGGTTGGAGCGCTTGCTTTAAAAGCAAGAGATCCAGGTTCGAAACGAGCTTTGGACATATTTTCGCGTCACGGTAAGGAACGAGGCGTAAACGTCCTTGCTAAATGCACTTCTGTTCTGTGACAAAACCGTTAGGTCTTCTTGGGGCACCTAAATAACAAAAAAACAAAAAACAAAAAATTTTACACGCGTTAATGATGTTTGTTTTGCTTTTGATTTGAATATTTGAATATTTAAGGAAGATTTTATAGATTTTATTTTTAAGGTATTATTTTATTTTTATTTTTAAGATATTATTTTATATTTTGCTCTCCTATTATTGGGTGGTATACATATTATCAACCCAAACCTAACCCTGACGTTGATTCATCTATATTGAATCAATATTGGGTTATGTACATTGTGTCAACGTTAATCCATATACATTGAATCAACTTAGAATTGCTAACATTGGATCAACGTTGGGTTTAGATCATAAAAACATTCAAGTTTTGCGATGGTTTTTTATACGTTGGGCCAAAGTATGTGTGCAAGCTATTTTTAGTTGCGTACGAAGTAATAACTTAAATGTTAAATTTTTTTTAATTTTATAAGCCTATTGAATTATTTTTATAAACCTAAAAGTTTATATAGGTTTGTATTTCTATAGGTCATTATAGGTTATTATAGGTTTTTATAAGTTTATATTTATATAGGTTTATAATCACTATAGTCAATTATTTCAAACAGCTGCTTTAACTGATTAAAACGTTAAAAACAAACAGTAAAAGTACAAAACATTCAGTCAAATATTTCGTTGGTGGTGTAACAACGCTTGCAAATTAAGTGACACCATAGTAAAAAAAGGTAAAAAACTTCTTGGTCAAGTTCAATTCCCTAAAAAATATCTTTTTGGTTTTCTTTTTTTTCTTCCATTTTCTGCAAAAGACTCTTGAGTTAAAAGACGTAATGTCAAAAGATCTTTCTGAAAACTAAGATTAAGTAGTTAAATAAATTGAACCTCAAAAGAATGTTTAATCAGTGATATAAAACTTCCCCACATTGTATGTGGTGTAAAATCTTATTCAAAGTAATCACAAAGCTATTGAAGCGGCAAAAGTCAATAAATTAAGCTAGAGATTTCCAAAATTTTGTCCAAGAACCCAATATAAACTCGCCATATAATATTCTGATTTTAAATCTTATTCCAATTAATGAACTTCAATTGCTTTTCGTTTTTTTCTATAAACATTGCTTCAAGCAAGGCTGAAAGCAACTACTGTTAGAGTTGGAAGTTAATGAAAGAGAAAAGATGAATTTGTAAAGAAAGATAACGATTAACAGAAAACTTGAAAGATTGCAAATTGTATGAATCAAGATAGCAATATAAAGGGAGCGAATTCCAAAGAACTGATGTTTGAGGAAAAAATTAGACGAATGAGAATTTTAGGAGCACTTAGGAACAGTCGCAGTAACATGATGAGACTTAATTGAATAACAAAAAACACGAGAATAAATTTTAATAGATGACACAAAACTACTCTTTAGAGTAGCACTTATTATAGTATTTATAGAAAAGAGAAAGAGAAGCAACATTACGACGACATCGTGATAGTTAGAGGTTGGCTGCAAGAGCAGGTGCAACTATGTTTACAACATTGGATCTTGTCTAAAAGAGAAAGAGCATCATCTGAAGATCCGCTCCAGATATGGCAACAGTATTCCATACAAGAACGGATTTGAGATTTATACAGAGAAAGAATAGAATCACGAGTAAGAAAGTGGCAAGCACAGTAAAGAGATGCAACCTTAACAGATGCTTATTTTGCAATGAATTTGATATATGGTTTCCAAGAAAAATTGGAAGTAAAAATTAATCCTAGAAGACGAAGGGTAGATGACTCAATGAGTACATTACTGTTCATAAATATAGCAAGATCTAGATTATTGTGATAACAATTGGTTGAAAAAAATTGAGTTGATCTGAGTTAAAGTTCACCAACCACTGAGAGTCCCTTGCTTTAGCAGAAGTGAGATCCTTTTCAAAATTAAATGCCCCCTCCGAGCAATTTGAGAGTGGTTGGCTTCTTATCGTCAAGAAAAAATGGTAGTATCATTGCAAACAATACTACTTTAGATGTGAGAATTTTGGAGAGATTGTTAATGTAAATTAAAAAAAAAAGGGCCAAAAACACGAAATGAAAAAAGTAAATGTTGAGAGCGAAAGCTTTGACCTCTCCACATCTATCTTATGCACGAAAAATTTATTTGGTTGTTATCGTTAACAAAATCAGCAGTAAAATGAGAAGAACGAAACCCATATTGATAATCAGAAAATAAGTTATTAGATTCAAGATAAGAGATTAAGCGTTAGTTAATTAACGACTCAAAGACCTTGTTTATGATTGGAAAAAGACTAATGGGACGGTAGTTAGAAGTCAGATCGTTCACCAGAATTTTTGAAAATAAGGATAACAATTACTGCTTTCCAGCAGGCTGGAAAACAACACTCTGATAAACACTTGTTAAATAGTTTTGAAAGTAAAGACGATAGATCCGGAGAACACTTCTACAAGACCATAAGTAGTTTGTTGTCCGGACCACAAGCTGTAGAAGTGTCTGAGCAGGAAATCACTTTAGATACAGAAGCTGGAATGATACAAATGTCAAACAATCAATCAACCTGAGGAATAACAGATTTGTCTTTATTATAGACACTGCTAAAGATTCTCAAGAAGTCTCTGGAGTCTAGTTTTTGAGAGAGATTTCGGCGTTAGATAAAACCTTTTTACAATAATTTCTAGCAACTGTAAACAGATGGAGATTGTTTTGGCAATAGATATAGAAGTAATGGTTACGATTGGAAATTACAGCAACACAATTAGAGGAAACCACGGAGAAGAGAAGGCCTTACTTGGAATTGTCGACAAAGAATAAAAGTTTTTATGCCAGCCTGAATCCAAGAAATTACATTAAAAAAATATTTGTCAGCAGGAAGACGAAAGATTTCCCAAGAGCCATCAAGAAGAAAAACTTTGTTATATAATTATTTGCTAAGTATTAAACCGACCAGCGAGGAATAGGAGAAAGCTTTTTTAGCAGCTGGCTTAATCTGCACCAGATTTCGTTCAAGGATGGGAGATAATTCCTTTAACAATCTATATTTTCTGAGGTCTAATATCAACAACCATCTGCAGAAAAAGTAGAACTTTAAATTTTATGTTTTCTTTTTTTTCTTATAATTAATATATAAATAACATTTTACTGAATATTTTTTTTTTTTTTAACATCTTTGCTTCCAACAAGGCTGCAAGCAACCACTAATTATTGTTGGAAGTAATTGGAAGAGAAAAGATGAAGATTGTAGAGCAAGATAAAGATTGACAGACGACTTAAAAGATTGCAAATTATATGAATTAGGAAAGCAAGATGAAGGAAGCGAGTTCCAAAGAACTAATGTTTGAGGAAAAAAACTAGACGAATAAGAGTTTTTGGAGCACTTAGGAACAGTAACAGAAAAAGGATGAGACTTAATTGAATGACGAGTAACACGAGAATGAATTTTAGTAGATGGCACAAGAGACGCTAGCTCTTTAGAGCAGTGCCCATTATAGTATTTGTAGAAAAGAGAAAGAGAAGCAACATTACGACGATGTGACAGAGGTTGAAGGTTGGCTGCAAGAGCAGGTTCAACTATGTTTACAATGCGTTTTTGCACCTTGTCTAAAAGAGAAAGGGCATCATTAGAAGATCTGCCCCAGATATGGCAACAGTATTCCATACAAGGCCAGATTTGAGATTTATAGAGATAGAGAATAGAATCCAGAGTAAGAAAGTGTAGAGCTCGATAAAGAGAAGCAACTTTAGCAGATGCTAATTTTGCAACGGATTTGATATAAGGTTTCCAAGAAAGATCAGAAGTAAGAGTTAATCCTAGAAGATGAAGGGTAGGAGACTTATCGAGTACATTACCGTTCATAAATATAGGAAGGTCTAAATAATTGCGATAACGATTGGCCGAAAAAAATTGAGTTTTATCTGAATTAAAGTCACCAGCCACTGCGAGCCCCATGCTGTAGCAGAAGTGAGATCCTTTTCGAGCTCAGATGCCCCCTGCAAGCAATCGGAGGGAGTTGGCTTCTTATCGTGACAAGAATAAATGGTAGTATCATCAGCGAACAATGCCACCTTAGATGTGAGAATATCTGGAAGATTGTTAATGTAAATTAAAAAGAGTATAGGGCCAAGGATTGAAAATTGAGGAACCCCTGAGGTTACAGAATAAGAATAAGAGTGCTGTCCATCAAGAACCTTGAGGAACCCCTGAGGTTACAGAATAAGAAGAAGAGTGCTGTCCAATCGTAGTATAAAAGTTGTCCATCAAGGTCAACTTTTATACTATGATTGGAAAGAAAGAATTCAATAATCTTAAAGATGTTTCCAGATACACCGTAAGAAGAAAGCTTATGGAGAAGACCAGCATGCCAAACTTTATCAAACGCTTTAGAAATGTCAAGAGCAATGGCCTTAACCTCTCCACCTTTATCTAATGCACGATAAAACCTATCGGTTATTACTGTTAGCAAATCAGCTGTAGAACGAAAAGATCGAAATCCATATTGATGATCAGAAAGTAGGTTATGAGATTCAAGATGAGAGATTAAGTGTTTGTTGATTAAAGATTCAAAAAGCTTGCTTATAATAGGAAGAAGACTAATGGGACGGTAGTTCGATGAATCGGATCGCTCTCCAGAATTTTTAAAAATAGGGATAACAGATGCTGCTTTTCAGCAGGCTGGAAAACAAGACTCTGATAAGCACTTGTTAAATAGTTTTGAAAGGATAGACGACAGCTCCGGAGAACACTTCTGCAAGACTATAACAGGTATGTTGTCCGGGCCGGACAACATACCTGTTATAGTCTTGCAGAAGTGGTCTCCGGAGCTGTAATAAAATAATAATACCGGAATCCTAGGATTAGAAATTTTTAAAACCGAAATACCGTAATTGGATTTTTGGTCCGGTATTCCCAACCCTAACTGTTATTGAAAATCGAAAATCTTAGTCAAATCTTGAAAAAATACTTTATATGGTCATAAGACCTACTTAAAGAGATGGTGGATGATGAAAGAAAAACGGTGATAAGATAGTGGAGATGAAAAGGTGACAGTGCTGATGAAAAAAAACTAAAAATCAGTATCAAACTGATGATTTTTGATCCCATGCTCAAATAACCAATATTTTTTTTAAAGCATTCTTGTTTAATAAAAAGCAACTTATAATAAGATTTCAAATAATTTAACAACTAATAATGGTAGCCATGCTTATCATCCTCAGAAATTTAGCAACTATTGTAAAGAAACTTACCTAATTTTTTTTCAAGACATAAAGGTTTACAGTTTCTGTAATAGGACAGACACATGAAATAAATACTATTTCGAATTTTTCTATTCCCGGAAGAGCTTTGGGTCAAAAGCTTAAGAATGTTGCAACAAAATCATAAAATATTGGCTTCATCATGAGTATGATGAAGCCAATACTTTATAGTGATTTTGTTGCCAATATCATCAAGAGAAAACCATTTATTTGATGTATTCCCGCTCAACAGATCCAATTATAAGTTCACTTGAGGTATAAGATCTAAAAGTAATGCTACTTTGATAAGCCCAGAAGTAATGCTACTTTGATAAGTTTTCTCGAAATGTGTTATGTGTAGCTCATTGAAATGATGTTGGCATGCAATAGATAGAACTGGTCGTTGAAAGACTTCATTTACCAGTAAAGATACAGCTCCATTTTTGTTTCCAGTGTTGATTCTGATGGTATCATTATTTATTTTACTTTAGCTAAGTACTTTTAAAATTAAGTTTTGATAAACTATTCCTAATTTTAGGAAATATTTTTGCCATCACCTCTTCCATGCTGCAAAATCAAGTTTCTCTAAAACTACAAGTGAACAACTATGACATTTTAGACATGAACAATTTTATAAATGTATTTTTTAAAAATAATAATAGTTTCGTGAATATATAGATAAATTAATTTTGGTCCGAATTGTGCGTTACTTATAAGCATTTTTCCATTTCTTCATCCTCCAAATTAAAATAAAAAAAGAAAAGGATGCATTTGACAGCATCTAATGAACGTCCTAAATTAATGTTCAAAATAATAGGTTCGCTCTTCATAACTTTCTACAGTATTATTATAATAAATGTAAAATCTACATACTAGTACTAACCAAGTTTTTTTGGTTTATAATACATGTAAAATCTACTCAATAGTACTAACCAAATGTTTTTGGTTTATAAGTGAACCGTGCTAAAAATAGGTATACAAACGTATAATAATAAACACATAAAGCTACAATATAAAATTCAAGTAGCTACGTAGCAGAAACATAGTGGAAGCATCCCCAAATAACACGCATGGAATATGTGAAAGCACCACCAAGTATTGTTTTAATATTCGAGAAGATTTACAAAGATAAAATTGTCTATTTTTTGAAAACTATTAGTTATGAGCGAATTATTTGAAATATTCTAATTCTAAATCTAAACATGCGACAGGGCCAACTGCACTCAACCAAGTTAAAACGTAGTTTTTAAATCTAAAAAATCAATCATTAAATTTAATTAAGTTTTATCCAATAGTATGTATTAGTTAATAGTATATATCAGTTAATAGTATATATCAGTTAAATAATAATATAAACGGACTGTTAAATGTTGTATGTTGGTTGTTATATGTTGCAAACATTAGTCTCATAAAATTTTATAATAAATAGCCGTATATAGTTATTAAAAAAATATTTACGAAATTTAAAAGAAGTTGATAAATTCAAAGACGATCAAAAGTTTGAACATTATTAAATCGTTAGGTTTTAAAACCAATTATAAAACGATTGTTTATTAATAATAAACGTTTGTTACACGAATCCGCAGCTTTGCTAAATCCATCATCAGGTGAGTATATACATATTTGTACCCAATTCGTATGTTAGCCACTTTGGTGTTATATTTACGTTATATGATGAGGTGTAATAACAATGATAAATTGCTTCGATCTGGCGAAGAATGCTGACTTGCTGTTGTACTTCTGACTTAACAGTTCTAACAACACTGGGCAACAAAAAAAAATTTTTTTGTATCTTTTTTTTCAATTTTATTCAAATTATACTAATTTTGGGCTGAGAAAAAAGAAAATGAAAACGAAATTTTTTTATTAGTATAAGTTTCTGAGATATACAATAACAATAAATAATAATTTCAGTTAATTTGCTACAGAACAATATGACATACAATTTACATATTCTAATAGTATTTAAAGTATATTTGGTTTTTTTTTTATTACAGATATATTCTAACAGTTTTAATCAAAGAAATCATGATCATCAAGCTAATAGGTATAAAGATGATTATGGGGTATCGTCACGAAAGCGTGATCTTTTTGCTTTCCATTTGTAAACTAGTTCTGGAGTATCCCTACACACAAACCAACAGTAATCTGCAAGCATAGCATCATTACAAAGAGCCTGATATCTTTGTTCCATTACAAAAATAACTTGGTGAAACTTTTCCTTATGTTCATCACTAACAGCTCCACAAATGGGGGGGGGGGGGGGGAAGAAATCTAGGTGTGAGTGGAGGAAATAAATCTTGAGAGACATGTAATATCCAAGTTAATGGTATTTTTGCAGAAGTACTGTTACCAATTGAATGTAGTTATCACTTCGTTTGTTGCCTAAAAATCCACAAATCACTTCCTTAAGAGCTTCCCAAGTTTCCTTTTCTTGCCCCTTCAAAACTTTGTTAAATGCAGGATTCTTCATAAGTTGACGTATTTGTGGCCCAACAAAAATACCCTCTTTAACTTTTGCATCACTTATTTATGGAAATATGTTTCATAAATACCTAAAAGCATGTCCTTCTTTATTCATACTTTTGACAAAATTTTTCATTGAACCCAATTTAATATTTTATGGTGGAAGAAGAACATCTTTTCCACAAGAGGTTCAGCAGTAACATTTTTTCATCTGCGTTGAGATTTCTTGCAAGCCAGTCTTCTTTTATATAAAGTGAACTTCTGTCTCTACTATACTACATACACAAAAAGCAGCAGTATTTAGTAGCAGCAGTATTTAGTAGCAGCAGTATTTAGTATACCCTAATTGCATTCCTAAAAGTATAGCAATGACTTTTAGATCACCACAAATTTTCCATTTATTTTTATTGTAATTAATTGAGTTGAGGAAAATTTTCATGTTTATATAAGTCTCTTATGTGAACTGCACGGCCAATACAAACAGAAGGAAGAAGGTTTCCATAGTGCAGTAATACAGCTTTCAAGCTTAGCTTAGATGAGTCTATAAATAATCTCCATTCAGTTGGATCATACTTCAAATTAAGACAATACATTAATCCAAAGACATCAATGCAAACAACAAGATTACTTTTCTTCTCAAAAAAAGAAAGATTCTGCTGTCGTTTTCTATAATGTGAAACCTTGACATCAAATTGGAGAAGATTTCATTGCTTTAGTCTTAACCCTAGAAGTTCTGCCTTTTCCTGTGATAAGTCCAGATCTCGAACAAGATCATTTAATTCTGCTTGGCTCAATCTGTTTGCAAAACATCTGCTAACACAAAATCAGGATCATTTGATGAGGAAAGCTTATTTTCTTCTTTTTCTTCTATTTCTACTTCATTTCTGCCTTCATTTTCTGCTTCAAACTCAACTTTGTGGTGGAGTAGGAACTGGTAACCAATCTGAATGTGAAATAGGTCGCATGGCAGATGGAAGATTCGGATATTTAGCTGTTCCTATTTTCTTCATTGACAAAACCTGTCTAGAAATAACAGTCACCTGTGTGGTTTTTAGGTTCGCTCCATACCATAAGAACAGCAAAAGCCAAAGATCTTTTTTTATTTTTCAACCATTCTTGTAGTATAACTGAACAAGAGTAACAGCATATATGTGGAGCTCATGACTTATTCTGGCCCCCTACCTTTATATCGAAGTAATGCTAGTAAGCAGTCTTCACAAGAGGTGTCATATTTTTTTTCTGTGAGGAAAATGTTATTTCACCACAAATGTAACAAAAATTGTCCACTAAATTTACACACTTCCTTGTCATGTTGATTGGCCAAATGTAACAAAAATTGTCCACTAAATTTACACACTTCCTTGTCATGTTGATTGGCCAAATACACTAGTAAACGAAAAAAAAAAAAAAAACAACCCAAGAATAGATAAGACCAGAAACTTTAGCAAACACACATAACTAATATCACAAGTTTTAAACATGATTATAACATTATGGATAGTCGAAAACAAAAAAAATATTTTTTTCCGAAAAATTAAAATTTATAGGGGAAGGTTGCGTAAGATGAGCAGGTTCCTAAGATGGTATAACCACTTTTACGAATAGACTAATGATTTTTTCGCGAACTTTTTTGATTAAGAATATTCATACAAGTTCGACAGTGTTATTTATTTTAATTTCTTGGTTGAATAGTTAATATTCTTTGATTGCTTTACTGTAAAAAATTTACCACCCCCGTTATGATTTTTTATCATTCAATATTTTGTAATTACGTCAGAACGAAATAAGATCATCAAAAATTTATTACATCCTCATTTTATCCTTATCTACTGCTAATTTCATGGGTTATATAAGATAATACATAAGTTGCATGCTATTTAAATTATGATAGAACTTGGTGAAGTTGCTTAAAATGATAGATTTTTAGACGCTCAAGATGAGATGCAAATTTCTATTAGGAAAAGTGCGTTTTTCGAAAGTCATTCTCCGTGGAGCTTTATTTTGGTATTTCAAGAGCGAAAGTTTTTTCAAAAAATAGTGTCGTTAACTTTTTTAGAGATAAGAAAGATTTATTGTTTTTTTTTATGGTTGAGATAATTACTTTTTACTTAAGTATAGTCCTTGAAGATACAATTTTATTTAATTTTTTTTTTGTGATTATTTTTTCGTTATTTTGAATTTTTTTGAGTTCCATTAAAAAAAGCTTATCTTAGGAAACTGGTACCCTAAGATGAGATGATTAGGTATGTTGAAAATAACGCAATTTTTTTGTATAAAGGCTTATTTATTTTCCATCAATTCATTGATATTCTTTGAAGGAAAAGATTAAATTATCATTATTCTTAAAAAAATATATCTTTTTGTAATTTTTTTTTTGTGAGCAAAATACATTACACTAAAAACATGCTCAACTTACGCAACCTTTCCCTACCCTTGACAAAAATTTTCGCTTTTATTTCTTAAGCTAGAGCCAATATGTAATTTTTAATGTCATTTTTGAATTCAGCAGATAGAAATACATAAGTAATAACTAATTTTGGTACCGAAACAAAATCACTGTTGGGCAGTGTAATCTTAAGTAATATACTTACCTAAATGGTAATATCTTTTGACGCAAACGCATGTTTAAGAGTTCCAAGCCTTACTTCCAAGCTTTACTTTGTTTTTTGCTCTGTTGCAGTATAGAGATCCTCAAAGATTTTCATTCTAATAAAGGTACTTAAAATTTTTTCGTATGAATAATGCGCAATTAATTATTGAAAATTAAAGCGCTATGAAATATTACCAGATTTTTTATTATCGAGTGTGCAATAAAGCAAGTCCTTAATGTTTAACCTCATATTGTGGTTCATTAAAATTTTTTGTTTTTATTAAACTAAAAAGGGTTAAAAAGAAAAATATACAGCAAAATGAAACCAGAGTCGAGCAACATGAAGTTTAATAACTAAAAAATCTATATTATTCTGAAATTTAAAAATGTACATAAAAATTTCTTATTAGGTTTTATGTAGATTTTTAAAAGTTCATAAAAAACTCTGTTATTATTTTCAGACCAGATACTTGTTTTTATGTAATCTCAATAATATTAAATATTTGTAATGATTTTATTATCCTAAATCATTTCCTAAACAATTTTTTTTTTAACTTTAAAAATTTTACAATTTAACAACAGGTAAGTTTCAAAAACTATTTACCACAGATTAATTACGGATGAACCATAATTCCGAAAATTTTAATAAAACGTTTTAATACTTTATTGTTTGAAATTTTTCTTTTTTTTGGATAAATAAAAATGAGTGTTAACTAAATAATTTCAGAAAATTCTAAATTCATTATCTGCACTCCAAATGTATTATCTGGAATCCATATCGGCAGTATAATAAAGATAAACTAAAGAATATTTAACAGAGAGCTACTACAATTACAGGATTAGGAGAATACATAGAGATTTAAAAAGTTGGGTTTATTATTGCTAGATTTTACAACATTTACAAGATTTATATGTTCAAATATTTTAAAGATTTATATGTTCAAATATTTTATCGCCAACCGGAAATACTAGATAACAGTCGGAAACCTCAAGACCACATTATAAACTAACAAGACAACAGGAAATATGAAACACTGTAACTTTTTTCTAGTGTAGTAAACATGGATAGATATGAATCATACTATAATCATTTTTTTATTTTCACAGAACAATTTTATACTTCTGTACAACTATTTTTTGTCAAAAATGATGTTTAAAATAATGCAGCTGTCACGATACACAGAAAAAGATAATATAAGTTAAAGTTAATTTATATCAAAAAATATTTAAATTAGATTTAATAAAAAAAATTTAATAAAGTAAACCTATAAAAACTGAAAATTATTTTAACAATATTTGTATTATTAATGAAATATATAGATAAAAAATTTCAATATATATAAAAAACAATAACATACTTTTCTTTAATACTATGATTGCACACAAAATTTTTCATCAAGGTACTAGTGTGACATGGATGTAAATGGTAATATATGCATCCCAGTTCAGGATGTTCCTAAAAAAAAGATTTAATAATAATAAATAATTTTATGCAAGGATATCCTAACACTTTTTTTTTTTTTTTTTGAAAATTTAACATCCATGTTTTAATAATTTGGTGGCTTCGACAGGTTTCTGTAACTCCCTTTTTTTATTTAAATCAGCAAATTTCGAAACAGTTGTGTTTTACACACAAGTTTTGTTACAGATGTGTTAGTTATTGTTTTGATAATATTGTTCACTATAAGTTTTTTATATTTCTCTAATTATATCTTATATAAATTTTTTAATATAAATATATCTTTATTAAGTATTTTTGCTGTAATAAAAAAAAAAATTTCCTTTACTTCCTTACTTCAATTCCTCATTTTCAAAAAATCCAAGTTTATTTATCACCTTTTATTTAACTTGTAATACTGTATTGCTAAAATTTATGTAAAAAAAGTGTTCACTTTGCATTTCAGGGTCAACAATACGGGTTTCAAAGTGGAGGTGCACAATCGTCAATTCAATCAAAAAAAGATTCCTCTATATCTTAAAAATTCTTTATAAAAAAAAAAAAATAAATAAAATAAAATAAAAAATAAAAAAAAAGACCCTTTAGAGAAAAAATTGGGGGAACCAGTGCCCCCTGGTATAGTTGGCTATGCATTTCATATAAATATTTTAAAATAAAACAACATTAATGATTTAAGTTAATTTTGAGTGATAAAATATATTTTTTTCTAATTGCATCATTAACAACCAAAAACACTAAACTGTACAACCAAAAGAATTAACCTATATTACTGTATTGTTATAGAGCTGAGTTTTAAAATAAATATTATCTATTTTAATACTTTCAAGTTAGTTTAGATTTAAACATTTAAACAGTTGAATCCCGTCAAAACGGCTGTCATTTTTTGATGCTGCCATTTTAAACTAACAAAAACTCTAAAACTATATAAAAAATAAAACTTTAACAACTTAGAGACATTAACATATTTATAATTTATTTTATACTTAACCTATCTATAATTTATTTCATTATTTCTGAATAAAATTATAGGGTAAAGCAAGTTCGTCAGATTTTACATTTACAAAATAAATTCGCATATAAATTAAAATGAAGTAATTTATATTCAAATATAAATAAGTATAAAATAACTTTTCTAGTATTAAAACATTTTTTTATCAATTAGGATCTCTACTTTGTTAATATATTAAATCAAAACAAATTCTTAAGTACTTAATTTTTTCAACATCAAGTCATGAAGGGCGAATTCGTCAATTACGGGGTGAGTTCTTTAGTACATCTAATCTAATTAAAAAATATGTCACTTTGACAAGAGACAAAATTTCTTACTAGTGTTAAAGCTTCTGTTCTTGATTAAGAAAGCCTTCGGGAATTTCCAGTGTCACCTGAGTGTGTTTTTTCGAAACAATAGAAACCAATTACGTGATGTCAAACATTTAAATGCTAACATAATTAATAAATTTCTATTTATATTTTTATTTATAAATATTTATTTTAATAAATGACGTCGAAAAAAGCTTTTGGCAAAGCTATAAGTAGTAAACCACATTATTGTGAGAGGAAATCCTCTATTAACTACATTACTGTGTGAGGAAATTCTCTATTAACCACATTATTGTGAGAGGAAATCTCACAATAATGTGGTTAATAGAGGATTTCCTCATCTGAGTGTGCTTTTTTGAAACAATAGAAACCAATTACGTGATGTCAAACATTAAAATGCCAACTTTTTGAAATTCTGTAATAAATGACGTAGAAAAAAGCTTTTGGCAAAGCTATATATGTAGTAAAAAACATTATTGTGAGAGGAAATCCTCTATTACCCATATTATTGTGTGAGGAAATCCTCTATTAACCACATTAAAATGAGAGGAAATCCTCTATTAACCACATTATTGAGAGAGGAAATCCTCTATTAGCCATATTATTGTAAGAGGAAATCCTCTATTAACCACATTATTGTGAGAGGAAATCCTCTATTAACCACATTATAGTGAGAGGAAATCCTCTATTAGCCATATTATTGTAAGAGGAAATCCTCTATTAACCACATTATTGTGAGAGGAAATCCTCTATTAACCACATTATTGTGAGAGGAAATCCTCTATTAGCCATATTATTGTAAGAGGAAATCCACTATTAACCACATTATTGTGAGAGGAAATCCTCTATTAGCCATATTATTGTGTGAGGAAATCCTCTATTAATCACATTAATGTGAGAGGAAATCCTCTATTAACTACATTATTGTGAGAGGAAATCCTCTATTAAGCACATTATTGTGAGAGGAAACCCTCTATTAACCACATCGTGAGATTTCAAAAGAAAAAAACATAACCCAAATTATTAATTTAAAAATATTGACAATCAATCGAAAAAATATACTTTATGGTCGAAACATTGCGTATTTCGATTATTTTTCAACGATAGATATTTAAGCAGAAAATATTTTTTGATTTTCAAATTTTATTTACAATATTTAGGAAATAATCGAAAGAAAATATCTAAAACATTTATTAGATAATATTCTACAAACTGTTGAAAATGTTTAAAAAAAAACATAGTGAATAATTTTTTTAGTTCTTATGCATCATTATATAAAAGAGTCACAGACGGGTTTGCCGCGAAACAAATTTACCTCACTTTACCCTACTTAATCGAATTTCATAGTTATGGCTTGTAACAAAAAAAAAAAAAAAAAAAAAAAAAAAAAAAAAATTCATTTAGCCAAAAAAGTCATTTTTGTCATTTTTAAATTGACAAAAGATGTCTAGTGAAATGTTTTGATTAATGACTATAAACCTATTGCCTTAATTTTCCAGTAGATTTTTTATCGTTATGATTTCATTAGAGATTTTATCGTTATGTTTTCAGGTTTTATGAAGTGAACCCACCTACACATATAAAGATCTTTCATAAAATTTCATAAAAAAAAACACAATTGAAACATAACCTTTTTTTAAAAAACTAACGTTATTTATTCTCTAGATTATACTATTAAAAAGTTTATTGTTACTAATAATCTTAATTATATTTAAAGCTTTTTTGGCTAATAAATGTTACTTTTACTCACTGTGTATATATAATATATATTAGTAGAAATGAAAATCTTTTCTTATTACCTGTTGACTTATAAAAGACCATTTCTCAAGCAATGCGTGTTGGTGCTGTCTTGGTACCAGATTCCATATAGATTCCAAAGAAAGCATACTTCCATCTAATAAAAAGCCCAAAAATAAAAACCAAATATATTTAATTTTAAAATATTTGATCACTTACTTATTAGGTATATTATTTAAATTAACTTTATTTATAATTTTCAAATTTCAACTTTCAATATCAGGTGGACGTGGAAAAATCCGGTCAACTTAAAATTGAGATTTCTCTAAAACCACAAATGCTTTTTATTTCTTTTATTTTTTTAATTAAACATTACTTCCTTATCTCTAATTGTGTTGATAAACGTTTGTTTACTAATCAATGATTTTAAAAATGTTTCGGAAACAAATTGATGTGCGTTAAAAAGTTGTGATTTTTTTTTTGCAAAAATTCATCAACTTCATATCGCTTGATTGCTAAACATACAAATGTCCCAAAATCTACATTCATTTTCAGAAAGAAAACTTGGAAGTGGAAGAAAGAAAACTTTGCATAAATCCAAAAAGGGAAAGTCGATTTTACGTTCAATAGCAAGAAAACCAAACCAGTCACAGCGAGATCTAGCAAGAAAATTCAAGATTTTGCGTTTTTATATCAAAAAAGTATTTAAAAATGCTGGAACTAAAGCATTTCATAAGAAAAATACATCTAAGAGAAGCTTAAATTAGAAGAATTCAAGGCGCAAAGAAGTTGGTTAAAATAATGGTGGATAAAAGTATGTGTATAATTGAAGACGACGAAACATATTGCAAGGCGAATTTTTCACAACTTCCTGGTCAACAATTTTACTAGGAGAACAAAGATAAACCTGTTGATGATCAATTAAAATATATTTGACGAGAAAAATTTGTATCCAAGTTCCTTGTGTGGTAAACAATTTATAGCTGCGGTATGCAGTCCTCTTGTTTTGTCACTAAGAAGATCTTGAATTCCGATCTCTACATCAAAGACTGCCTCCAAAAAGACTTTTGTCATTTATAAAAAAACACAAATACCGATGTCTCTTTCGGCCAGATCTTGCTGCTTCTCACTATTCTAAAAAAGTTCTATAGTGGTGCAAAGATAATAATGTGAAAATTGTTCCTAAAAATGTGAATCCTCCAAATCGTCCTGAAGAGCGCAAGATTAAAGATTTTTGGGTAATAGCTAAAGGAGTTCTTCAAAAGACAGGTGGAATAACAAAAAATAAAAAGGACTTCCAAAAAAAGTGGACTAATGTCACTAACAAGATGATAAAAGGAAACATCTGCAAAATGATGGCATCAATCCGCTATAAAATTTGATCTCTTGCCAAACAGCCCTCCAAGCCCCTTCAAATTAAGTCGAAACTCTAATTAATGTAAATACATTTAATAATAAAAATATTGAAATAAAAAGCATTTATGGTTTTAGAAAAATCTCAATTTAAATTTGATCGGATTTTTCCGTGTCCACCCGATAAGCAAATTTTTAGTAAATTTTAATTTTTTAAAAAACCTGGTTTTAAAATGCAACACATAAAAAACCTATTTAATCTGATTTGCTGAACGTATGTTTTCAGCAAAAAAAAGGCGACTATCTATGAACAAGAGTAATTGTTTTGATATGTTTTGCAAAAACTAATATAATAGGTTTTAGAGATTCCAAAACACAATATAAATAATTTTTTATCATGAGTTCTAACGGGTAATAAGTAATTATCCGGAATGATTTTAAATATCTGTACAACTCAATAAAAAATATAAATGAAAATATTTTTAAAAAGTTTTAAAGCATATTTAACGCTTATTTTATTTTTTTACACAATCGCTTTTTATAGTTTCTTTTAGTCAACGATCTAATTGAGACTTCACCCCTTCTAACAAGCTCTTGCACACGTTCCATATTAAATTCATTTTAAAAAATTTTATTTTCCTTCTGAGTTGATTAGTATCTGAAGCACATTACTTATTATCGTACACTTTCCCATTAAATTGAGACCAGAAATCTTCAATAGGCCTACACTCTGGGAGATTTGCAGGGTTTTTTTCCTTGGGTATCATAGAACATTGTTTTCAACTAAATATGCTACCATTTTCACATAATGTGCACTAACTATATCTTTTCACATAACGTACACTAACTATATCTTTTCACATAACGTGCACTAACTATATCTTTTCACATAACATGCACTAACTATATCTTTTCACATAACGTGCACTAACTATATCTTTTCACATAACGTGCACTAACTATATCTTTTCACATAACGTGCACTAACTATATCTTTTCACATAACGTGCACTAATTATATCTTTTCACATAACGTGCACTAACTATATCAAAATATGGAATTGTGATTAATTAAAATCAAATATATAAATAAAAAAAATATGTAATTGCTTCAAAAATTTTTGAAACTGTTTCATTTATATTTTTTTTCACACATTGTTTATAAATGAAACTTTTAAAATAACTTAAAATGATAAATATGATTTTTGTAGTGTATTAAATCTAGTTTATTAATAAAAACTACATAATTGTCCACGTGCAAGATATAACCTAATTATTTTAAAATGAAGTTATTCTGGATAATAACTTAATGGATATTACCTGTTATATTAAAACAGTTTTTGTTATACCTTACATCATGATACTTTTTAATATATATAAACTTATTTATTAAAGACTATTAATATTAGTAAAATTGTCAAGTCAAAATCAAATAGTTTTAATTTAAAGAAAAAAATAATTACATAACTTTGATTCATACCATGACAATAAGCAACAAAATACAGCACCGGGACATTAAAACTTTCACTATAAAGGATATGGTGCTCAAATGTAATTGCACAACATTTACTTGAAGTGATAGACTGTTAAATAAAGTAGACAAATATTGAAAAAATATTTTAACCAAATTATAGATAATATTAAACATATATATGATCTGTGTCTTGTTTAATAAATTAACTTATTAAAACTACTATATTAATACAGTGCAAAACAATTATAAATTAAAATAAACCATTATATCAAATAAATAGTTAATAAATTGGTTCGAACAGAATTGGCAATTTTGAACATATTATTGTCTATTTTGTATTTTTGGATCATATCACCACTGATGGGCTTTTGTGGTGAAAAGTTTTGTGGTAAAGTTTGGTGAAAATCATTTCCTAGTTATAAGGCTTTAACTTGATTGGTTCAAGTGATTCGGTAATTATAAGGTCAATTGTATTTTTTATTAGACTTTTTTTTTGATTGAATGTAGGATCAGAAATCTGTTAATGTAGTTCTAGGTTGTGAATGAGGTTAACAAACTTGGTTTCCGGGCTTGATTTACCAAACACCAGAGGAGGTCTAGTCAGTGGGCCATTTCATATTGGGAAAATTGAAATCACCTAAGATAAATAAACAATTCCATTTATTAGTTTAATAGACTCATTTATAAAAAATAATGGCTTTTGTTGCTTCATTGATAGCTATGGGATTTTTGGCTCGAGGGCCATAAATGCAACTAACTAGCAGAGATTCATGGGACAGTTTAAGTTCAAGTCTTGGTTGTTCTGGGTTAAAATGCTTCTGGATGTTAACAATGTTTATTGTCTCTGTTGACACATCTTTATTGTCTTATTGTCTCAGATGCTTTGCTGACTATAGTCTTAGATGCTTTGTTGGCTTTTTGATGGCTTATTTTCTTTTTATTAGTGTTTTATTAAAGTTTTAAAATGTTTAGAGTTTAAAAAAAAAAATTTTATAAGGCAAAGCGTTTTTGTTAAAATAACTAATTAATAACAAATCCCAAAATTACAGAACTTTTTTATTCATTATTTTCTACAATATAGAAAAAACTAATTATAACAATTTTCCATTTTAAAACAAAATATTTACATTATTCAAACAAGAAAAGAAAACATTAAAAACTACAACAAAATGTTTAAATATTTATAAACATTTTTTAACTTGTATTTTAAGTGTAAACTAAATTTTTAGATTAATACACAACTATTGTTAATAATAGCATTTAACAAGGACCTTCCACTTTATAACTGACAAAACAACTAATTACCTGACACTCAAATGATTCTTCAAAATCCGTAAGAACTGTTTCTTCATTTTCAAGATCTACTTTTTTAATGGATTTCCTTACCATATAACAATCTCCATCCTTACAAAAAAATATATATACCATTTTTAATTTTTATATAAAAAAAATTTATTTATAACTTTCAAACATTATAAAAAATATTTTTATTATTATAAAATCACTAAAAACACTATTATTGAACACAATTTTTTTTTTAACTTTTAAATAGATTTTAGTTAACAAAATTTCAAAAAGAAAGTTTTTACATTCAAGTTTACATAAAATGATGAAAAACATGTACAATGCCAATTTACTTATTTAACCAGGGCCAATTATCAAAAATTAAAGAATAAATATTTTTATTTTTAAAATTAAATTATTCCTAGTTAGTTACATACAATAATTTGTTATTATTCAGATGATTATTTGGTTTTTACCTACAATTAATTAATAATAAAGTTCAAAACTAATTTTTAGACTATGAATTCAAGTTTAAAAATCAAAACAATCTAAAGACAAACGTATATATATATATATATATATATATATATATATATATATATATATATATATATATATATATATATATATATATATATATATATATATATATATATATATATATATATATATATATATAATATATATATATATATATATATATATATATATATATATATATATATATATATATATATATATATATATATATATATATATATATATATATATATATATATATATGCAGTTATGGCCATAAATATGAGAACGATGATAAATTTTCTATTGTTTCATGATTCTTCATCATGTAAAGACAATTAGATAAAATTACAGATGTTAGATAATAACTGTTATAAAATAGTTGTTAGATAATAGTTGTATATATAAGAGTAAAGAAAGAGAATAAAGAAAAACAAATAGACTTTCAATATATAAGTTCTGATAAAATAATAAACAATCTTTTGAATAAACTAATTTAAAACAAAAGATTTAAAATATATATATATATATATATATATATATATATATATATATATATATATATATATATATATATATATATATATATATATATATATATATATATATATATATATATATATATATATACAGAAAAAGATAAAATAAACAAATAAGAAAAATTAACTTGAATTATTAAAAAGTAAAGAACACTTACAGAAAAAAAAGCAAGAAAGTAAAGAAAGTAAACACAGAAAAAAGTAAGCAATCAAGAAAGAAGAAAAACTAAACAAATTTATAAAAATTCCAAAAACAAATCTTCAAAAAAAAAAAAAAGATTTAGAAGATCGATTGTTTTTTTTTTTTACATTTTAATTTGTAATTATTGTTTATTACTATTTTTATTTAATTTGATAATTCTATTTTTCACATTTATATTATTTTTTTATCATTACTTATATTCATTTTAGTTCTTTTTTAAATCTAATTCACTACAAATAAAGGGTGCAAGCAACCACTCTTAAGTTGGAAATTACTAGAAAAAAAAAAAGTTAAAAAGCAGAAAAATGGTTAACAGAAGACTTGAAAAGTTGAAGATTTGAGAGAGAAAACATCTTCATGTTTTCTGAGAGAGTTCTATAGCACATAAGTGCGGGAAGAAAAACTAGACAAAATGTTTTAGAGCATGCAGGAACATACAGTTGAAATATGTGACTTGGCTGAATGACAAGTCAAACATGAATAAATTTTGGTTGATTGAACTAGAAATTATAGCTCCTTTGACCAGCGACCATGATTTTGTAGAAGAAAGGAAGAGATGCAACTTTCAACAATGGGAGAGAAGCCTGAGCTTGGCAGGTAAACCAGGTCCTACTATGTTTACAATATGCTTTTGGACCTTATCTAGAAAAGAAGGAGCATCATTAGAAAAATATGTCAACAGTATTTCACACAGGGAAGAATAAGAAATTTGTTTCAATAATATATAATAATATTACTATTTTGTTTACTGATTACTGTTGCTATTTATAAATTTACTGTTTATTGTTTGAATATTTTATTTTTATGATTTTCTATATTTTCTATTCTTTAATCGATTTTACTAACTAAATCATGTAAATTTATCACAATTGCAAGTTTTACAACAAAATAAAAAATAATTATAAAGCTATCTAATGTGCCTTGCTCTTTTTGGATTTATGCACAATGTATTCCAAATGACAAATATACTTACAATCTGTTTTCCAATAATTTTTTAAATGGTTTTGATTTATTTGCATATCAAACAATATGAAATTCGACATGATCTCTGATCTGGAACCTAAAGGAATTCTTTCTGCAAAAATCCTCCTTATAAAATAAAATCTCACAAACACCCTGATTACCTCAAAAATTTATTTCTGAAAAGAACAATGTGATAAAATTTTTATAAATTTATATCCTCTTTGCATTTCTGGTAATTTTACAATTTTGATCTTTGACCATATGACACACTTTGTCTGTATTCCTAATAACTTACCTATTAAAAAAAGTAAAAATATTTAAAAGAAGCTTTAAGAAAATTAATTCCAATTTTTTTATCCAAGAAATTTCTAATATAAACTGGAAACCTCACCTTAAAAAGAGACGATAACATAAATGAATTGATAAATTTGTTCCTTAAAACATTTAAAATAAATAATAATTTAGATCTTCCTATATAGCAATAATTTGGCAATAATTTAGACCTTCCTATATTTATAAACAGTAATGTACTCGATGAGTCTCCTACCCTTCATCTTCTAGGATTAACTTTCACTTCTGATCTTTCTTGGAAACCTTATATCAAATCCGTTGCAAAATTAGCATCTGCTAAAGTTGCTTCTCTTTATCGAGCTCGACACTTTCTGACTCTAGATTCTATTCTCTATCTCTATAAATCTCAAATCCGGCCTTGTATGGAATACTGTTGCCATATCTGGGGCAGATCTTCTAATGATGCCCTTTCTTTTTTAGACAAGGTGCAAAAACGCATTGTAAACATAGTTGGACCTGCTCTTGCAGCCAACCTTCAACCTCTGTCACATCATCGTAATGTTGCTTCTCTTTCTCTTTTCTATAAATACTATAATGGGCACTGCCCTAAAGAGCTAGCGTCTCTTGTGCCATCTACTAAAATTCATTCTTGTGTTACTCGTCATTCAATTAAGTCTCATCCTTTTTCTGTTACTGTTCCTAAGTACTCCAAAAACTATTACTTGTCTAGTTTTTTTCCTCGAACATCAGTTCTTGGGAATTTGCTTCCTTCATCTTGCTTTCCTGATTCATAAATTTGCAATCTTTCAAGTTGTCTGTCAATCGTTATCTTGTTCTACAATCTTCATCTTTTCTCTTCCAATAACTTCCAACACTAATTAGTGGTTGCTTGCAGCCTTGTTGGAAGCAAAGATGTTTAAAAAAAAAAAAAATAGTATTAGACCAATATGCTCCCTAAAAAGAACAAAAAAAAAAAAAATCAAACTTCAATCTAAACCCCGGATAACTTCTGGTATAATTAAATCTATTTCTATTAAAAACATACTTTATAAAAAATTTAAAAACTTCTGGTATTTAAAAATCTATTTCTGCTAAAAATAAAGATCAAAAAATGTCAATATCAAAAATCTATTGTTTACTAAATTTAATTTAAACAAATAAAACTAGCAATTTATTAATTTAATAAAAAATGTACTAACATTTTTTTAAATAAATACCTCAATAATGTAAAGAATATATGGAAATCATAAACATAAATTATATCTATTAATACTAAGTTCTTTAGTTAGAATCAAAACTAAATGTCTCAGATCATACCAGTATTTTTGAACAGATCGTACCAGTATTGCTAATATATTTAATAACTATTCAAGACAAACTACTTAAAAAAATTGTTTATTCTAGATATGTTTTTGGCAACTTAAAATATCTTGTACTTATTCTTTTTTCATTTATCCTGTGACTTAAAATGAGGTAAACCTCATAAAAAGTACTATTAAAAATAATAAAAACCTTGGTCTCAAAAGTCAACCAACATTTTTTCTAAAGCTGGTATCTCACATAATCTCTGAACCTCTAACTAATATGATAAATTTTTCAAAAAATTTTCTAGAAGCTTTTATGGTAGCCAAAGAAATTCTTATCACAAAAAAGGTTTTGGACTACTCCAAATATCCACCCATTTCTCTTCTTTCCAACTCAAATAAACTGTTTAAATGTTTCACATACTCAACTTTTCGGAGAAATATAAATGCCTTTACAAATACTAATATAGTTTTTGTAAAAACACTAATCAACTCATTCATTAATAGAAGTAATAGAGAAAATAAGACAAGCCATTTAAGCAATATCACTTTGCGTTTGGAGTGTTTATTGACATAAAAAAAGGATTTGATACAGTTGAGCACCCAATCCTCCTAGAAAAACTACAGTATTAGAAGTATTTCTCTAGTTTTCTTCTTATCTTTGTGAACACAATTTGTTTCAATTAATGGTATTAATTCAGATCTAGCTAAATCTTGTAACAGCATTCCACAAAACTCGGTTTTTCTTATTTTTATCAATGATTTAAGTGTTTCACTTAAATATTTTACTGCTTCGCCATTAACTTGCTCCTTATTAAAAAATCACTTTAAAAACTTAATTAACCTAATTAACCTAATCCTAATTAATAATTCTAATTAAACTAATCCTAATCTTAATTAATAATCCTAATTAACAAATCAATTTAAAAACTTAACAAAAATATGAATCATGATCTAACAAATATTGTTTAGAGCTCCGCTCTAATAAACTATCCATTAACTCTAAAAAAAACCAGAAATTATTATATTTTAATTAAAAAAGTGATTGTTATCAATAAATTACAATAGTACTTTTATTTACACAAATTATTTCTTGTTTACACTTAGCCCTATAATGAAAAGTGACTAGAATGTGCAAAAGTTTTATAAAAAATAGAACAGGTAACTCAAAAAGTTGTTGGGCAACTAAAATTAACGAACTGATTGCTTTCAGTTGCCCTTCTGGTGACCAACCAAAAGTCTACTTTTATAACTATAACTTTACTCAGGAATAACATTTTTTTATAATTCAAATTTCTATTAGAAGAAAAACAAATTTCTTATTAAATTATGTAAAAAAAAAAATTATTTTTGTAAAAACTTGATAAGAAAATTAATTAACAAAAATAATCTATAAAAAAACAGGAAATTTAAAATCCTCATAAAAATCAATTTATTTCCATTCAAAAGTTTTCAAAGAATCTTTGTATTGTTTTTTTCTTTCTAATTTTGATCGGTTCCAAAGTTATTACGGAAATACTAAATTGGGGAATTTCGCCACTAATTTATATTAAATAGAAATGCATTTTGATTGGATAATTAATATATTTCCCTTCCTCTTGTTTTGGTAATTGATTTCTCAGGTCATGTTGGTCTTATAATCAATTCAAATTAATTAAATCGATCAATTATTAGCAACAATGCCGCAAAACTACAAGAGAAAATCCGTCACTAATTATAGCAAAGAGCTAATGGAAAAACCCTTTGCAAAAGTTAAAGCTGGCAAACTGAGTTGCAAGCAAGCTGCAGAAGTATACTGTATACCTTGAAGGACACTAAGAGGAAGAATTTAATATCCAGAAAGGATAGCTGGGGCTGATATATTAACAATTCTCCTAAAACATACTACATTTCTGAAAAAAAAAGAAAAAAAAAAGGTAAAAAAGGTAAAGGGGGGGGGACATGTCCTGATACCACACGGTATCGATGACCATGCCCCCACTTATTGAATATTGTTAGATTTCTTTTATTTAACCGATTGTAAATACATTTTTAAGATTTCTTTTTTAAAATAAAAAAATTATGTTGTAAATAACATAAGTGGTGAAAATCCCCCAAATTAGATTTTACTGGGGTAATTTCGCCACCCCATTTTTTCTGTTCAAATTATTAAAAAAAAAATTAAAGTATATATAGTTTATAAAAATATTATTAACAATTAAAAAAAAAAATCCATTTTCATTTTTAGTTCTCAAGTTATCTAAATTGAAAGAATCAGTGGCAAAATTACCCCATCTTACTCTATATATACATACATGCGTATATATATATATATATATATATATATATATATATATATATATATATATATATATATATATATATATATATATATATATATATATATATATATATATATATATATATATATATATATATATATATATATATATATATATATATATATATATATATATATATATATATATATATATATATATATATATAAATATATAACCTTATTCTTTGTTCAATATCTCTGTAAAATCACAAGGTTGCACTCTTTTTGATGCTATTTCTGATATTTCTATATTCTGGTTTGATTTCTCTAAAACTATTATCTCATTCTTCCTTTTACAACTACCATAAAGCTAACTGGGACACTTTTTGTGATTTTCTATATGATGAAATCTTTCATCTCCTGCTGACAAACGTGCTACTTATGTAAATTCTTGGATTCAGGCTGGCATAGAAACTTTTATTCCCTCTTGTCAATTTAAAGTCAAGCCTCATTCTTCTTCATGGTTTTTCTCTCATTGTGCTGCTGCGGTTTCTAATCGTAACCATTAATTCCATATCTACCATTGAAACAATTCTTCACAAAACAGACATCTGTTTATTATTGCTAGTAAATCATTATAAAAATATTTTGTCTAACGCCAAACCCACTATTCTTATGTCTTGAAATCTTGTAATTTATCTCAAAGATTAGGCTTCCGTTTGCCAGCTATCATATCTTCTGTAAAGTGATTTCCTGCTTAGACTTTTCAACAGCTTGTGATCTGGAAACCAGTTATAACATTGCAGAAGTGTTCTCTGTTATAACCTTGCAGAAGTGCTTTCTGGAGCTGTTGTCAATACTTTCAAAACTATTTTATGTTGTTTTTTTTTGAAGTGCTTATCAGAGTCTAATTTTTCCAGCCTGCTGGAAAACAACATTTTTTATCCCTATTTGCAAAAATTAGGAGATTGGAGAGCGATCTGACACACCTAACTACAATCCCGTTAGTCTTATTATTACCATTAGCAAGGTTTTCTTTAATTAATAAAAACTCAATCTCTTGAATCTAATTACATAATTTTAAATCTAATTACTTACTTTTAGATCATAAGTATGGATTTCAATCTTCTGCTGCTAATTGGATAATGGTAATAACCAATAGGTTTTACTGTGCATTAGATAGATGTGGAGAGGTTAGGGCTGTCTCTCTCAGGGCTATCATTCTCGTGTTACTGGTCATTCCATCTCATCCTTTTATTGCGATTGTTCCTAAGTGCTCTAAAAATTCTTATTGGTCTAGTTATTTTCCTTGAACATCAGGTTTTTTTTTTTTTTTTTTTTTCACATAGGAATTTGCTATGTTCATTTTGTTTTACTGATTAATATGATTTGCAATCTTTCAAGTCATCTTTTAATCATTGCTTGCAATCTATCATGCATCATAAACTTGTCTTCCAATAACTTCCAACTCTAATACTGGTTGTTTGCAACCTTGTTGGTAGTAAAGATCTTTAAAAAAAACAACAACAACATCTACTACTAATGATACTAATTAGTATTCTGATTTTGAATATTAAATTCATTATAATTCATTTAGCAGCACACTTAGTTAACAAAAGTTTTTTCACTCACCTTGCTTGTTCGCAGCACAAAATTGTCTTGGAATTTCATACTTATTGTGCAAATATCATAACAACATCTTTTGAAATCTTCCTTACTGATATAACCATCCATAATTATCTTGATAGAAAATATATACTTATAAATAAACCTTAATAAAAACATCTGCATTAAAAAAAAAAGTTTATAAATAAACATAAAAAAATACAGGATAAAAAACAATGATAGCCATAACTAACCTTACTTACATTTTACACATACCATCTTGTTACACTAACGTTATTTCATTTAAAATATAAATTTCTTTTTGTCAAAATGGATGTTATTATATAAAATGTACATTTTATATATATATATATATATATATATATATATATATATATATATATATATATATATATATATATATATATATATATATATATGTATATATATATATATATATATATATATATATATATATATATATATATATATAATATTATAAAATGTATATTATTTATATATATATATATATAATATATATATATATATATATATATATATATATATATATATATATATATATATATATATATATATATATATATATATATATATATATATATATATATATATATATATATATATATATATATATATATATATATATATATATATATATATATATATATATATATATATATATATATATATATATACACACTATATCTAGTACTATATATTTTTCAAAAAATTTAATTCATACTTTGAAACAAAAAAAATATTCTTCAAATCTAAATTTTTCTATGGATAATAATATTTCTGAGATATTAATATTATTCTATGGATATTAATATCTCAGAAAATTTTATAATAATTACATAATTACAATATCATATAACGTTACATAATAAACCACACTAAAGCCACAGTTAAATGGTAATGTCATGTGTTCCACATTAAAAAAAAAATGCAAAAAACAAAATTTTGATTAACCAAGGAAAATATTTCCTAGATATTACCACCTCTACACCTTTTGCTTTGAAAAAAATGATGTACATAAAAAAAATTTGAAAAGATTTTAGCTAACTTTGTAATTATAGGATCAGTCCAAAAATATATTAAATAATATTTATTTTATAAATACATTAAATAATATTTAATAATAATAATAATAATAATAATAATAATAATAATAATATATATATATATATATATATATATATATATATATATATATATATATATATATATATATGTATATATATATATATATATATATATATATATATATACATATATATATATATATATATATATATATATATATATATATATATATATATATATCATATATTATATCATTAATCGATGATGGTGGCATAAATTTAAAATCCAAAGTAAAAATACCTAACTGCCTAAATAAACAATTTTACAAAGCATTCACCAAACCAACTGATCAAGTAAATGATTTAACAATAGGTTTATCATCAAGAACACCATTAAATGTTAAAACAAAACTTGACTTATGAGATGAAAAAAAGCAGCTGGAATCGATGATATTTCTCCTTATATTTTAAAAAACTGCAGTTCTGCTCTTAGCCTGCCACTTAGTTTATTATTTATCAAAATATACAACACTGAAACTACACCACAACTATGGAAACAAATATCACACCGATTCCGAAAAAAGGGAAGAAAAATGATCCAACAAATTATCGACCTATCTCATCATCATCAGTTATGAGTAAAATGATGCAAAAACTAATAAAAGATGACATAACAAGTAACTTAAATCTACATAACTTAATAGCTAAAGAATAACATGGATTCACAACAGGTAAATCAGTTATCACAAATTAACTTGAATCAATAGATGTAATAACCAATGCTTTAAATGGTGGATTTTATGCTTTAGTGGTTTACCTTGACTTTGCTAAAGCATTTAATACAGTAGATCATAAACTACTAATTGCTAAAATAAAAACTTATGGTTTCGATAAAAAAACTTTCAAATTGGCTACACAACTTTCTTTCAAACAGGCAACAAAGGGTTGTAATTAATTATGAAGTATCTGGCTCCCAGTATTAAGTGGTGTGCCACAAGGCGAAGTTTTATCTCCATTTCTATTTAACCAATTTATTAATGACATGCCTGAACTAGTTCACAATACCTGCAAGCTATTTGCTGATGATAGTAAGTTAATTGCTGTAATTAAAAACCAGAAAGATCATGAAACATTACAAGATGATCTCAATAAAATAGTTGAATGGACAAAAAATTGGATGAAATTAAATTATGAAAAATGCAAAATTATGAAAGTTTACAGTACCAAATCAAAAAAGTTAATTGACCAAATAAATCATGCTGTCCCACTATATATAACAACCCACAATGGAACAATCATAAACAACAAACAATAAATAAAACAACACAGGAACGTGACCAAGGTATCAACATAAGCAATAATCTGAAATGGAAAGACCACATCACAACAATAACCAATAAAGCTTACTCAAAACTAGGTACACTAAAGCGAACATTTAAATTCTGGTTAATTGACTCCTTTACTAAACTATATACAACTTGTTAGACCTGAATTAGAGTTTTGTGCACCAGTTTAGAATCCACATTTGAAAAATGAAATAAAAAAACTTGAAAAAGTTCAGCAAAGAGCTACAAAGCTTGTCCCAGCTCTCAAGCACAATTCTTATGTAAAACGTTTATCAAGTTTAAAGTTAAAAAAGTCTAGAATCCAGAAGAATTAGAGTTAAAAGTTAAAAGTTAAAAAAGTTTAAAGTTAAAAAAGTCTCGAATCCAGAAGAATTAGAGGGGACTTCATCCAATATTATAAAATAAAAACAAATTTAAACAAAGTAAACTGGTTTCATCCAAACTCAAAAATATTTTCTTCAACTCTAAAAGGTCCATCTTCTAATATCAGAGGAGAATTACACAAAGAGTACAGAGAGTTTACTAAACACAGTTACCGTGAAAATTTCTTCAGCAACAGGATAGTGCCTCATTGGAATAATTGACTAAATAACTTAGTAACAGCAAAAACAGTTAACAAATTCAAGAAAAAATATATATACAGTGACATAGAAAGGTTTTTAAATGTTTGAAATAACCAACTTTTAAACAAAAAAATATTCTAAATTTTTTTACATTCATATGTATGACGAAAAGATTCTTCACAAAAAAATTATTGTAATAAGAGAATAAGAACAAGCTCAGCCCCCCTACCCTACCCTAAACATGAGGGCAATGAGTTTAATTATTTATTTTTTTTTATAAATATAAACCAGTTATGTATTCATCAACAGATTTTAAATTTTATGTTAAAATTATTCAGTGTTCAGTTTTTATGATCATGTAAAGAACACTCTCTCCCTCTCAATTTGAGGGGGCCACAAATTTTATATGGTCATAAAAACTGAACACTGAATAATTTAAACATAAAATACTGAATAATTTAAACTTTAAATTATTACAAAACTTTAACATAAAAAGCAATTTAAATTTAATGTTTATTATTCACAGTTATAATAAATTTAAAATATTTTTTTAAACTATGAAAAATTAAATTAAAGTAAAAACATAGCAAATGTTTAAAAAAAATTAAAGGTCTTTAAAACTTTAGAAGCTTTAAGTAGCTATCCACTGATTGATAGCTATCTACTGATTTATAACAATCTACTGATTTATAGCTACCTACTGATTTATAGTTATTTACTGATTTATAACAATCTACTGATTAATAGTTATCTACTGATTTATAGTTATCTACTGATTTATAGCTATCTACTAGTTTATAGCTATCTAATGATTGATAGCTATCTACTGATTTAAAGCTATCTACTGATTTATAGCTACTTACTGATTGATAGCTATCTACTGATTGATATCTATCTACTGATCTATATCTGATTGATATCTAATCTACTGATTGATAGCTATCTACTGATTTATAGCTATCTACTGATTTAGATTAATGTTGTATTTGTATTATAAAATATTGTACTATATCATTTGAACATTTTATTTAACATTTGACATTTTAGGCTATCATTTGATTTTATATTTCCTATGTATATTTAAATTTTTTGGAGAAATTCCTTTTTAAAACACTTTATTTAAACATCTTATTAACACATCTTTTATTTAAACTTGCCACAACTCAAACTTGTTAATGTCTGGGCAATTATTTTCATGATTTCAATATGATATCATTAATTACATTTGCGCCTACCAAACCCACACTAAATTATACATTTCAACAGAATCAAAATTGTTTGACTTTTTAAAGTTTGTGAAAAACAAAATAAAACTGAGGAACAAAAAAAGTCAAGAAACAAACTGTGTATTAAATTTATCATAATATTCCATTCAAGAAAAATTTTATAAGCGTAACTACATAGGAGGAAACACTTCACCAGGAGATACCAACTTTAACCTAAAGATTTAAAATAAAGAAAACAACTGTAAACTTCAAAAGACTCACTTAAAACTCAAAATTTAAATCTAATCACATAAAACAAAATCTTTATTAAAAGCCTATGTACTTAGATTAAAGAGTAAATTATTAAAAACATAGATTAAAGAGTAACTTTTGTGATTGAAAATTCATAGTAACTATAAAACAAATATCCAATCAGTTTGATCAAAATAAAGATTAACTTATCTGGTTAGAGTTTCTGTTAAAATTAGTCTGACTGAGTTTAAAGAGTATATTATGTGGTCAAATTCTGAGAGAAACCTATGACGTATAGTAATTTATGTGGTGAATTATTGAGATTGAAAAATAAACTAATGTGGTTAAATACTGATATTAAAGAGAAACTCATTTGTTAAATACTAAAGTAAGATATTAATTTGATATATAGAAAGGTTAATTTGATTTATAAACAAAATTATACGGAAAAAAATAATTTTACACATAAAACTTTAATTTCATTTTTTTTTTCAAAAAAAAAAAACTTAGCTAAAAAAATAGGTGTTGGTTGTCTGTTAAACAACATATTAAAAACAAACCTAACAAGCTGTGTTTCCCCAGCCTTGAGTTGCATACTGCTTTTAGTTACAGATTTTGGAGGTGCCACATCTCGCCGATAATCACGTGTAAGACCATAATAATTTTTGCTAAGCTTATGAGCAACACCTGGTGGAAGGTTAGGAGGATTCTGTGTTCTATTTAAATCATTAAAAAAAACACATTATAAATATATATATATATATATATATATATATATATATATATATATATATATATATATATATATATATATATAATATGTATATATATGTATATACACACACACACACACACATATATATATATACATATATATATATATATATATATATATATATATATATATATATATATATATATATATATATATATATGTATATATATATATATATATATATATATATATATATATATATATATATATATATATATATATATATATATATATATGTATATATATATACACACACACATATATATACAACCCTCGGAATTAAGGTCGGCATTTGGCAATGCTGACCTAACTGACCTTGTTTACAAGTAACTGACCTCATTTCATTGTTTTATGGCAACCCCTTTTTGTCAAATTTTTTTGCTAACCTCTAACAGTTTGAAGTCATTTTTTCTAATTCCGAGGGCTATATATATATATATATATATATATATATATATATATATATATATATATATATATATATATATATACATATATATATATATGCATAAATTTATATATATATATATATATGCATAAATTTATATATATATATATATATGCATGTATATATATATATATGCATATATATATATATATATATATGCATATATATATATATATATATATATATATATATATATATATATATATATATATATATATATATATATATATATATATGTATATATATATATATATATATATATATATATATATATATATATATATATATATATATATATATATATATGTATATATATATATATACACACACATATATATACAACCCTCGGAATTAGGGTCGGCATTTGGCAATGCTGACCTAACTGACCTTGTTTACAAGTAACTGACCTCATTTCATTGTTTTATGGCAACCCTATTTTGTCAAATTTTTTTGCTGACCTCTAACAGTTTGAAGTCATTTTTTCTAATTCCGAGGGCTATATATATATATATATATATATATATATATATATATATATATATATATATATATATATATATATATATATATATATATATATATATATATATATATATATATATATATATATATATATATATATATATATATATATATATATATATATATATATATATATATATATATATATATATATATATATATATATGAATCACACATAGATGCAAGTCTTTATAAATTTGTTAGAGAGTTTCCAACAAAATAAAATTAACTAAAAAAAAATCTTTTTTGATTAGAGTGGCCTTCTTTGGAGCTTTGGGGAGATAAATTAAAAAAAAAAGTTCTATTTTTGGTTTAAACCAGCCAAACCAGCAAAACAAAATCTACAGACAATTTTAAGTTATGACATTTCAAAAGCATGCAGAAAATAATTTATTCAACGTTGGACCATGCAAGTGCTGCAACCTCGAACCAATTTTTATAAATGCAGCTGTGAAAAAAGGTACCTGAGAGAGAGAGCATGATTCTCTCAATGTTGATTTGTAGGTTTCAAACAGAGGTGCTACACCTGTGCTGGAAAATATGAACATAATTTCAAAAAAAAGGTTTAACCAATAAAAAGAAATATAAACTACTGTTTTCACCTTTGTATAAATATGAAATACTCAATCATTGATGAAAATAAAAGCAGACAGCAGTAAAGTCATTATGTTTATAAAAGTTTGGAATTTATAAAACATTTGATGTTCTTTATATTTATGTCTATCAACATGTTAGTAAATAACATGTATATAAAATACATGTTAATACAGTTTAAAATATATGAATAAGATGAATAAAGTAAAACATTAACAAAATTGAAATCCAGCACCGATGTAGCTATTACAGCTGTGATTCTTCATTTATTAGATAACTTAAACATTTAAAACAATTGGAATTGATGGTGAGCATCTTTACCTACTCAAGCAATGTACTAATTTACGCTTGAGAACTCTGTTGAGTATATTTTTATTATTATTAAAACCAATCAGATTTTTTTTTTTTTTGTGATTGATTTATTAAAAATCTTATAACAAAATTAATTTCTAACCTTTTAACCTGATCAACAGCATACCTAAGCTGCATGTTGTATTCTTTCTATAAAAAAAAAAACAAAATTTTTAAAATTTTGTTTGTTAAAAATATGTTAATTATGCAACAATGAACTGCATTAAATTAAAAAAACTTCAAAACAAAAATCAAATTTAAAAATTAAGTTGATTAAGAATGTTGTAATTTCTTTTATTTAATGCAGTTCTTCGTAGCTAATATAAGGTATTTTTAAAAAATAAACTATAAAATTTAATTCTAAATTAGGGAATAGATTTGAGTCAGATCTAATTCTATCCAAAATGACTAATATTTCATGGCATAAATATTAGCCTAGCTAAATGATCTTTTGAAGTTAAAATAGTCTATTTACTTTTCTAGCACTGATTCTAAAAATCGTGATTACTTGGATGATGATCCCAGTTATATTCCTAAAGTAGCTGATGTTAAACTTTTTGAAGAAAGCAGAAGTGTCTATTGTCAAGTCCACCTATTCTTTAGGTGATTCAGTAATCAGTGCTTTTAGGTAGCATAACTTCATAGATTTTTTAATTAAATTGTGATAATACTGTTTTTTGTACCATTTTTTATGTACCTAATGTTTCATTATTATCCACAGAAGAGTGAAAGAGAGCTAAAAAAAGCAGAGAAATGGAAATGTTAAGGGGCATAAATGCAGAAACAAAACAAAAGAAAAAGAGAATTGAGCAGAAATCACATGTTTATAGTATAAATACAAAGAGTACTTTGAAAAAAAATTAAAAAGACAAAGGCTGTTGACTTTAGAAGATTGTACTCCTTTTTGGCTAAAAATGAGACTTTTTGCAAACCCAATCCTAGCCCTGGTAAATTTATAAGAGTTAGCAGGGGTTGAAAAATTTATAATTCTTTGTATATTGTAATTTTATATTTACATTTACTATTTATTAAATATTGGCATACATTTATATATATTTAAACTCTAATTTACTTCCAACAAGATTGCAAACAACCACTATCAAGTTATAAGTTACTTTAAAATAGAAGATAAGTAAAAATACTAGGAAGCAGTGATAATGAAGGGACAGATACAGTAAAAGTATCCAACTTATTGAATAAGAAGCCAAGCAAGAATGAGTTTTGGTTTATTCTAATAGAGATAATAGCTCGTTTGAGCATTAACCATGATTAGAGAAACAGCATAAAAAAGGAAGGCTAAAGCCTGTTGATGATGATGATGATGATGATGATGATGATGATGATGATGATGATGATGATGATGATGATGATGATGATGATGATGATGGTAATGATCATTATGATGATCATGTTGATCATAATGAAGTTTATATATGCATATATATACAGAGATAATATGAATTTTGAAAAATATATATATACTTTAGGATGTATTGTTTATGCAACCCCGTTTACAAACCCAGCCCCAACTATATTTTATTAAACCTGACTCCAGTCAAATATCAACCCCGATTGCTTACTAACTCCTTTACCTACTATTTCAATAATAAAGGAACTGTAATCTGGTTTTGTAAAGCTTTTTTTTGAGCACATTAGACATAAAATATAATGTAGAATCTCCTAATTCTAGAATAATTTCCAAACCTACTTCAACTAATACACCAGCTGCTAGGAAACAAAGCAAATATGTTAAAAAAAGGATTCCTGACAATGCCAGAAAAAAATAAAAGTGTATATAAAGAGAGTACTTTGTGTCAACTCTCACTATTTCAGAGCTAAAATAATCAGAAAATATTTTGAGTCATAATTACCTGTATATCGGCTTTATGAACTACAAGTAGTTTTTTGTCAAGAAAAAAAATTAAAAGTTGGTAAAATACACTAATACATTCATATTTTTGTAACATATTTTAACATTTCTATCGATCACAGAAAGAAGGTAGTAAAAGATAGATGTAAAGAAAAATGTGAAATACACAATACTGTGTATTTCAACAATCAAACATTGTGTATTTGTGTATATTCAATATTCAATTATGAAGTACTTGTACAGCATGCTGTACTTGTACAGCATTCTAAACACATCAAGAAAGATGTTGACAGAACAGTTAACACATCAAGGAAGATGTTAACAGAACAGTATCATGAGTACTGCAAGAATGCATTTTTTAAAATAATTACGCTAAAGTTGAGTTCATCACTTAAAAGTTTTTATTTTCCATGTCTGCATTCAAGAAGTTAATGCAGTACATAGCAGCATCAACCACTCTTTAAGAAAATGGAGCAATTTAATCCATAAGGTGGTATAAATCCAAAAGGTGTGTAAAACTTTATACCATTCTTCAGATGAAAAAAGCCCATTTGTGAATATGCAGGCTGTCTGAGGATTTTATAAATTTACAATTATTAACATTGCTTATCACTTTATTTGCTTAGCTAACTTATATAATAAGCAAGACTACCATTACAAACTAGCAAAAACCATACAATCAATATAATCAACCAACATAGTAATATACCAAATAAGAGTTTTGATTTGGGCAGGTATTATCTAAATACAAAAAACTGTTTTTACTCAAAAAAAAAAAAAAACTTTTAATTATTTTATTATTCTTTATCGTTTTGTTTTTTTTTTGAAAAAAACTTTCAGGATTCAAGTAAGAGTTTTGAAATTTTAATCGTACAAAATATAATAGAAAATTGCTCTAAATATACAAGGATAATGATATAAGTGTGTGTGTGTCTATATATATATATATATATATATATATATATATATATATATATATATATATATATATATATATATATATATATATATATATATATATATATATATATATATATATATATATATATATATATATATATATATATATATATATATATATATATATATATATATATATATATATATATATATATATATATATATATATATATATATATATATACTTATATGATAGTTTTAAAGAGAATGCTAATATAATAAACAAGGCGAGAAAAAGTTTAAAAACTTGAATAAAGTTTTTTCTTTTTAATGATAGATTGTATGCTCAAACCAAACCCTCAGACAACTACCCATAACAAGATTCCTTTGATTTAAATTTATTTAAATCAAAGGAATACAAAAAACATACCAAAAAATACTGTAAAAAAAATAGACACACAAACTTTTTGATTAAATTCTGCTTTACTTTCTTTTAAAACCTAACTGCTATTCGTTAATTATGTTAATTTGACAATAAGTATTAAAAGTCGCATATAATTGCTTATAGTGACCAGTTTAGTCACATTTAAAGGTTTTTTAAAGACTTTCATAAGATCTAAAGGTTAAGATGCACAGAAATAAAAGTAGTTAGCCAAGCAACAACCTGGAAAATAATAGACATAAAAGATGAATCCATGATCAGTTGCAGAGTAATAGAAAAAAGATTGAGAATTCCAGAGAATTTTCTCAGAAATACTGATAACATTTAAAATGACAGATGGCATTCAAAATCATGCAGGATTTGGAAGATAAAAAAAACTATGGAGCACAAAAAGCAGTCTTATATTTTGTCAAGTAAGAGTTAATCCAAGGTTAAGTTATTATACACATTTAATAAAAACCATGAAAAATGTCTCTACCTAAATACAGTTAGAAATATTAACTTTGGAAAAACATTAGTGATTATGCATCTATTAAAAACCCATGCTCACAAGATTAAGGTGGTGTATGGAGAGAGCTAGGTGGTCTTTAAAAAAATTGAAGCAAGTATTCTTCAGTGATGAAAGTAACTTTGAAGTAATAAATAGAAAAACAAAAATTATTATAAGATTTAAATTTAAAATTATAGTAATTGCTTTGAAATACTGAAGTTGCAGGGTGGCAGTGGGAGTGTTGTATTTAGAGGCTGCCTAAATTTTAATGGATGCTAGAAAAACTGCATGGTTCCAACATTCTGATTGATCAAAAAAATGATGGCAGTTTCAGGAAAAAATAATGCCTGCACACACAGCCTATATAGTCAAAGCATGGATGAAAGAGAGACAGAGACAGAGAGACAGAGATAGAGAGACAGAGAGAGAAAATGATAGATGTGCCATTACAAATAATTAGTTCAAACAAATCAGCATAATGAATTTTAACAAATTTATAACGAAAAAAAATACCCCTGTTAAAAAATTTACAATTCTTTGCAATGCCCCTTTGGAAGTTGCCATATGACTATTTATCTTTAAACTTTGTTTTTGTTTTTATGCTACCTTAAATCTAGGATTTTGGTTTTTGATCTTGAAAACTTATTATAGCGTCTAGCCGTTTAAAACGTCTAAAATGTCGCCGATTTTGTTGGATAATTTTTTAAAAACTTAATAAAATAAGGGGGATAAGTACGATAAAGAACGTACGCAGTGAAACCAGAGTTGTTAGTCCTTGGACTGGGCCTCAGCCTTGTCTTAAGGTGGTAGACCACTATTAAAAATCAAAAAAATCATTTTTTCAATTATAATTATTTTAAATAATAAAGCTATCGTAAATTACGAATTTCAAGTTAGTTTTATGAAAAAAAATAGCTAGCACCATTAAAAACTATTTTTTAATAAAGCGGTATATGTAAATTTTTTTATTTTTCCATAGCAACTCTTTGTTTATACAACTAAAAAGGAAATTGTATCATAATTATAGTATATATTTTTAATATAAAATACCATATGTGGTGATTGCAACTCTAAAACTACTTTTTGTTTATTGATTAATACTTTTGGTGCAGTTGGCTACATGAGTTTTATTGAAATTTTCAACTATAGTTGTTGTTTTCTGTATCACTCTACATCTATCCTATCATGTCGATTAAATAATTTTAGTAATGGAAAGTAATGGAAAAAAAAAAGAAAAAAGAAGTAAAACAAGGCATAGTAAAATACTTATTTAAACTTTTTAAAGAAAACCAAAATCAATCAACAAACAATGCAGCTGAAGAAATTGTATCTAATTTGCATGAACTAAAATTTGAATGAAGCATAGCAAAAAAAATTTTAAATGGACATGTGTACATCCAGATCCTGCAGTAAATAATTTGTAAAACTTTTAAATAATAATTTTGTAAATAAAAATAATAGTTCTGCTAAATACGATCAGTTCAATGTTACAAATGACTGCTACATATTAATGAACACCAACATATGAGATGGACTAATGGCTGCCATTGTTTGCATCGAAAATTCCTGAAATGTAACTTTTAAATTATAAATTTTTATGGTGCTCAAAACAATATGACTTATAAAATTGTCTCCTAATTTTATTCAGAAGTTTTATTCTACTAAAATTATAAACAAACCAGCATCAATGAATTTTTAATGTTTATTTATGTCCAATATTAGTTTTTTGTAAAATGGGTAAAGAATACTGTAGTATTGAAAAGTTTTGTGGTTTTATGAACATGTTTGATCCCATAAAGAAATTTTTTAACTAGTTAAACAAAGAAATTATAACAGTTACATAGCTGAAGCTAGCATGAATGCCCCAGCGAAGAAGCTCTGAAAATAAGTTTATATTCTGAAAATAAAACTATAATAAGAACACAGTAGTTAATGAGGATATTTCTTATGGTGCATATAAGTTTTAGTTTATATTTATATATCTTTATTTTTTATATATTTAGTTTATATATGTACTTGATATTTATTTACTATAATAACTATCGGCATAAAACTAATAGGAGTTTTTATTTGAAACTAAGTTACAAATAAAAGTGAGAAAATCTAACTTTGAAAGTATTAATGCCTGTTAATAAAACCTGTTTTTTAAAACAATTTTTTTATAATTTTCTCTACTTTTACTCCACGACACTTTTAATATAAGTTGATATTTGTCAATAGGCTTTTTACATGGCTTTTTAATATTTGTTTTAAAAATTTTATGCTTTTTTTTGTTTAAATGTGTTTTTCTCAGATCTCTAAAATTCACGACTTTGCGATGAATATCTCAAGATTTTCTTAATCAATTTCCATGAAATTTTCAGAAGTTGTTCCTTTTGTTGTTACGGATGTCCCCTACCACATTTATGACAAAACAATAATCCAATTCAAAGATATTAAAGCCCAAATATGGTCAAAAATGCCTTATTTTTTGATCATCAAGTGTTTTTCTTATAAAAAAAATCTGTTCAGTAAATTTTCTTGATTTTGGTACAGGATCTTTTTTATTGTATTAAAAGTAAATTTAGAAAATTTCAAGTTAATAGCTTCAATAGTTTTTCAGATAATCACCGCAACGAAATGATGATATTTTTGGGACCAAATTTCTGAAATTAAAATAATTTTTGACTTTTTTTTTTTAATTTTGTCATTCAAGAGTAAATTTTAGTCAATTTAGATGTAAATAATATCTCAAATGTAATTTTTGAAGTAATTGATTTGATTTAATTAGTGTTTTACCACCTTAAGGCCAAAAATTAAAGCTTTGGTCTTGAAACTGTTGCCTTTGACTTGGTCTTGGCCTTGAAAATTATGACCTTGACCTTAAAAAGAGTACATAAAATTAAAGAGTTAAAAGTTTTTATTCTTTTTTTTTTTGTTTTAGGCTTTCATATTTAACTACAAATGTATTCCTTATTTTATTTTATATATTATTTATAATTAAAAATAAATTTTTTATTGACTTCGTTGAATTCTGCGCATAACCTTGGTCTATTACAACATGTGGCTTTATTGTCACAGCACTTGCTACCTACCGTTTTGTTAATAATAGCCCTTAACATAAGGCAAAAGATTAAGTCTTTGGTCTTAAAAATGTTTGCGTAGGCCTTGGCCTTGAAACTCTTTTTCTTGGCCTTGTTCTAAGCCTTGTAACTTTTGGCCTTAGTCTTGGCCTTGGTCTTGTTACTTTTGGCCTTGTTAACAATTTTGAGTGAAACCACTGATTTCAGATCCCCCCCCCCCCCCCCGTCTTCCTTTGTACAAACCTGTACGCTTTCAAAGACCCTCCTCTCCTGCGTACGCACGCATTATTTTTTTTAAATAAAGCCCCCTTTCCCTAACGCATAAATATTTCAAAACATTAAAAAAAAAAAAAAAAAAAAACATTTAGTTTATTTGACATTTCTCTGTACTAAACCAAAACTTAAAACTTAATGTACTTATTTAAATCTTAAAATGAATTACACATAAAATTTTGAGAGAAATGATAAAAACTAGTTTGCGTTCAGTAATTTAAAAAAATGAATTCAAAAAAAGTTTGCTTTTATATTAAATAAAACCAAACTTTTATTGAATTCATTTTTTTAATTACTATCTCTCCTAAACTTAATTTTTTATTTTTTTTAAAAAACATTGAATTTCAGATGTGTAACAAATCAGTATTGCGTTGTTTTTTTTTCTGACTTCGGTCACAACTTTTTCTTTAATTTCTTTATAAATAATGAGGAGAGAAAAAAGACGAGATGAAGACGTCAAATAATATTTCTCGCTACCAATCAAATTGCGTTGCGAGAAATAAAAAAATATTATTTGGAACGGTTGTCGCTCAATTTCTTTTTTCTCTCTTCATTATTTAAAAAGAAATTAAAAGAAAAAGTTGTGGCTGAAGTCAGAAAAAAAAAAACACAATACTGATTTGTTACGCATGTGAAATTCAATGTTTAAATAAAAAAAAAATCAAGTTTAGAAGAGATAGTCAAACCGCGTACGTACTCACTGTCTTAAACACCCCTCCCCCCTTTTTTTATACATGTTCGCACGCTTTTGGAAACCCCCACCCCCTTCCCTCATACCTGCGTTCGTACTTTTTGGATGGCCCCTAAGGCTGCAACAAAGAATTATTTTTATATGAAGATAATGACGCAGTAATTCTTGTTGACTCAAAGAATGCATTTAACTCGCTAAACAGAAAAACCGCAGTACTTAATATTCATTACATATGTCCTTCAATTTCTAAAATTTTAATAAACACATATCGGATTTCCTCCCGCTTTATAATACTGGGCATTAATGATATGCTATCGACTGTAGGTACTATTCAAGGCGAAAACCTTGCAATGTTTTTTTACGCACTTGGACTAAACAACTGGGAACTACAATAACAACTATTGAGAGGCAATTATTTACTCTTCTAACTCATGAAGGTGGATTAGGCATCATGAATCTATCTGAAGATGCGTGCAATTAGTTTAACGCACCAAAGTCATTAAATGGGCCCTTAATTGTATGTATGATTCTGAAAAAGTTTTTCCTATAAAAGAAATAAACATGGAAGAAAATATTAATACAGAAAAAAAAAAACACTGCCAAAAACCACACTAAACAAGAGCGAAGGTCGAACAAGCAAGAGAAAAGGGTGCATCAAACTGGCTAAGAGCGCTTTCTCTAAAAGATCAAAGATTTTTATTAAATAAAACTGAATTGTGCGATGTATTGTGTCTTTGATACAATCGAGATATTAGTGGATTACCATCAAAGTGTCCATGTGGAAAAAAATTTAACGGTAATTACGCTATGAACTGTAAAAAAAGAAGATTTGTCATTAATAACCTACGCAATTTTGAGAATAATATGTTTCAAAAAATCTGCAAAAATGTACAAATAGAGCCACCACTTCATCAAATAAATAGTAAAATTTTTGAGAAAAAAGGAAGTAAAGCAGATGAAGCTAGACTAGATATTCGATAGATTTTTAGCAGGTTAAATTAATTTTCAAATAGTGAAAAAATTATGTAATTCCGAAGCACCGTTCATGAAATCTGTTAAATTTAGTAAAATTGCTCAACTAGCCCCGCTCTATCCTATTTTTATATAAATACATATATAAAAATAGGATACACACATATATATATATATATATATATATATATATATATATATATATATATATATATTTATATAACTATATTATATATTATATATAAATATATATATTTTGTTATTTAGGTGCCCCAAGAAGTCCTTACGGTCTTGTCACAGAGCACCGTGGAAGTGCATTCCTTTCTTACCGTGACGCGAAATATGTCCGAAGCTCGTTTCGAACCTGGATCTCCTGCTTATAAAGCAACCGCTCTAACCACTGCGCCACGGCTGCACGAATATATATATATATATATATATATATATATATATATATATATATATATATATATATATATATATATATATATATATATATATATATATATATATATATATATATATATATATATATATTTATATATATATATATATATATAAACAAAGAGAGAGAGATACAGATGTAAACATATACAGATATATACAACAGCTATATTTGGCTATACTCTTATAATTTTGTTCATAAAAACACTTGATATATGACTGCGTTTATGTTTATAGAAG